GAAGGGCGCAACAACTTTTTTTGTCAGAGCAGGGGGGCGCGGTGCAAAAAAGTTCGAAGGAACTGCCCTAATGCTGTATTTGCATAAAAAAAATTTCAATGATTTTTATAGAGAATAAGACATTGTAATTTCTGATGTTATGAAATAACATCATAATAATACAATTCATAATAATTATGAACGATCTGAAACAAAATTCTAATACAAAATCAGTATTTACAGTCCACTACAAAGTTTGATCATCGTCTTTATTTCGAAATAAAAAGATTTTCTAAAAGCAGAATTTCTATAAAAATTAATTACACAAAATTTCACTAAATTTAAACTTACGTTTAAGTCAACTATTTTAGATATTGTCGCACAAAATAAAAATCCAAAAATATCTAACAACAATTTAAATGAAAATAAATTATTTGTTCTCTAAGTCATATAAAACCAATTTTACTACAATTATTCTTTATTATAATAATATCACACCTGTTTCTTCGGAAGGCACCCACTTAAACTAACATAAGTTTGGCGCGAGAAATTTATATATAATAAAGATTACGTTTTACAGAATTATCTAAACACGAGGCAAAAAATAGAAACAAGTGCTGAATTAGTGATCACATTATAATTTCTATAATTTAATAAAATATACGAGTTTTATATAAATAATCAACATAGTCGCATCGATGTAAAAAATAATTTGCGATGTAAAAAATATTTCAGACAATTTGAATGCTCCTGATTAAAAAAAAATTCTTAAAACTTTACTATTGCTGATTTATTTAATAAATATGTTATAATTCATATATCAATAAAGGAAAATCTAATAAGAGTTGCATTTGGATTATTTTAAGTAACATATTATTTATAGGAAAATCTAATATGAATCGTATTGGAATAATTTAATATGTAATTTCCATATATCAATAAAGGAATATCTAATAAGAGTCGCATTTGGATTGTTTTAAGTAACATATTATTTTAGGAAAATCTAACATGAATCGTATTGGAATAATTTAATATGTAATACCCACACTTTGAAATAGAATCTAATAAGATTCCAAATGAATTGTCCTAATGGATTATCCCAATACAACTCTTATTAGATTCTGCTTCAAAGTGTGGGATGCGTAATTTATTAACTTCAAAATTGTGAGAATACATCAGAAAACGAAGAGCAGCTTCTGTTTTATTTATAAATATAAATATACAACACAAATATATTCACCTTCTATAAATACATTCAATGCCGATTATTACATCAATTGGAATTGACTCAATAATTAACTCAAAATAGAGTAGATTTCAAATCAAGACTTTAAAATTTTGACTTACAATAAGTAAATGTATTTGCAGAGTAAAGTATCTGTTTTGAGATACCGTTCAATAAACTTCTAAATCTTGACGTTTCAAAAGTTTCTGAACATTTTGGCATACCTTAGAATAAATGGGTATATGTGTGTGTATGTGTGTGTGTGTATGTGCGGATGCAAATTTTCGTCGACGATTTCGGGAACACCGATCAACCGATTTGAATAATTCAAAAAACATTCGATTCGTATTGATAAGGAGACGTGCTGATTATTTTTTGGCGAAGACTGGTTTAGCCGTTCCGAAGATACGGGGCAAAAAGTGCCAAAAACGGTAACTCAGTTTTTAAGATAACGGTGTAAGATAAGTTAAAAAAATGTAATTTGGCGGTCAAAATAGCTTATGGAGTTTTTCCATAATTTTTCCAAAAAATTTATACATGATTTCACGGAGCATTTTGTGTTATTTTTTGGAAAACAGAAGAAAACACTTAGCTATAATAATAAAAAGTGATTTAGAAATGCTAGGTGAAATTGTTAACTTTTTGATTTTCTGTACTCGATTCTTTTTTGATAATGGATGTCCTTATGAGAATATAAATCTACAATTTTCAGACATAAACTGCAAAAACATATGCAAATGATGGTAAATCAACCCTTTCCACTCGGATACCGCCGCTCCGGCGGCAAAATTCATATGAATCTCGGAATTTGCGAGTGGAAAGGGTTAATAAAAAGTAATGGGAACAAGTAATCAAAAAGATAATGTAAAATTATAAAAATCGAAAGCATAAAATACTTAGGACTGATAATAAATGAAAAACTGACATGGACAGAACATATAAACAAAATAAAAAGAAAAATTGGAACATTAACAGGGGCATTGAAAAGGATCCACTCTTTTGGCAAAAAAAATAAAATACTAATTCTTAAAACGCAAATACTACCTATAATTTTATATGGAATAACAACATGGAGCCAAACAACTAAAGCTAACTTAAATGACATACAGACAATAATGAATAAAGCCACCAAAATAGCATACAATTTTCCACATCTGACACCCACCAAATACTTACAGAGAGAAACAAATAATCTTTCACTAAATAACATAATTAAAATAGAGAAATACAAGCTAATACACAAAATGAAATTTAACCGAATTAAAACAAGCACAACAATAGACATAAATCAAGATATACATGAACACTATACTAGACAACACAACAATTTTCACATTGAACACAATAGAAAGAAGAATTTCAGAGAAAATGTCATATGGAGTGCCAGCAAAACATATAACGAATTGCCAAACAATATTAAGATGACCAAAGATGACGATAAATTTAAAAGAAAAATAAAAAAACACTATAAGGAAATTGAAGACCAAGAAGACTGAAGAGTGATATATAAAGATATTTTTAGTTATATATATAGATATTATATTAATGAAATAGATTATTATAGTCAAATGAAATGTATATATTATATGAAAACTGTTTTCATAATCTCTCATACCAGGCAACTCTGCCTGACTGAGATATGAAAATAATGTATATATATATAAATAAATTTAATTAAAAAAAAAAAAAAAAAAAAATTATAACTTATGGAAGCCGAAGCCTTTCATGTATCATTCCTACAATAGTAATTATTGTTTTTCTTTAGCATTTATACTTGTAAAAAAACATACATTTTAATCCAGAATATATTTGAGATAACTGGTTTTGCCAATAAAATATTATTGAAATTATAAAATTTCCGGTAAAAAAAAATGTTTTAACCTAACATAACCTAAAAATTCTATGATTTTGTACGAACTATTGAGACAGAATTATTATTAAAGAATATAATCGAAAGCGAATGTAATATACTTAAATGATTTCTTATTAGTAAGCTTAATAATATTTTAATTTATTAAATACAAACTTTCGGTAAAAAATCATAGGTAAAAATAATAAACTCACCATTGAAGAAATTTTTATAAGAGAACACGTCACATTTTTATGATGTTTTATAAGTATCTTAATAATAAGCTATAACACATAATGTAACTACATAGAAATAAATATTTATTTTAATATATTGATTGAACAACATCAGCATTTTCTGATATAATAAATATATAACCTTAAAACTCTTTGACAACTGACAATTGACATTTTGACATGTGGATGTTAAAAAATAAAATTTCTAGATGTGAATTAAATAAAATGCTCTTTAATATTTAAATATGAAAAATTTATTCAGTATATATTTTATTTGAAGTATAAGTTCCATATGACCTAACAAATATATTTATTTTAAATATCTAAATCATCATCTGGGTCTTCTTCATCCCAATCATCAGCAGCCTCCAATTCATATATAATTTTTCCAGTTCCCGAACTTGAAACAGAATCACCAGCACCAATTTGTGTGTATGGCAATACAACCTGATCTCTAGATTTTTTTTCATTTTCATTAAGTTCAATTCTAAATGTGGACAACCCGGATGGTAATGTATCTTGATTTTCTGCTAATTTCTTAACAATGGGGATAAACTTTTTGGAGTGCAGCATTCGATTTTCATCAACCCAGCAGGATATTGTATCCTTGATTACTTTCCTACCAGGTCTACGAATCAGTAAGGAACAGGTGTTTGAATTGCTGTTTCCATCAGTGATTTCTATAATTGCATTTGATATATGATGAAGATCAACTAAAACATTTTTTGAAGGAACACAATCTCTGTGTAGCAGAGTAATTATTTGAGTAATAAATTTATTACTTAATAATTTTCTGAGTTGTGTGAAAAAATCTTTCATTAGTATATAACATTCTGCTAAAGAATCAATTACAATTACGGTGTTTGTGCTGGATTTAGACGTTTCTTCAAAGACTTCATTTAGACCATCGAAGTTATGGAAACAATCATGCAAATGTATGTTGTCCACATCTTTCAACTTTTCTTTGTAATATGATGGAGGTTTTTCTAAGCATAATAGCTTTACAGAATTTTTACTGCTTTGAGTGCTAACTAGAGAAAGAAATAGGTTTTGACCACATAACTTAACAGTGTCTTCGACTAGGACGAGTTTTGGAAACGGAGTTTCATATATAGCAGACAACATGTCTTTACTTATAATTCATGTATATATACAACAATATATTCTTCTTATAATAATATATTAATGCTTTATCAGTTTTCCGATACTTTAGATTTAATGATATTATTTCATTTTAAATGTAAGCGTTAAAGTGTTTTTCTACTTTTTTGACACATGAATTTAAATTTTAACCTATACTTATTACCTATATGAAATATGCAACAAGTTCTCCCCATTAGTGCCAACTTAAACAAAGATTGCTTATTACTATGTCAGTTATAATTTCGAAATTTAAATATGTTTTCTTCGATTTTTCTGCAGATGAATGTTTGACTTTTGATAACACATGGATTTTACATCACCCTTCAATTTTATTAAATTGTAGTTTATGTCACTTTTTTACATGATATTTGAATACAATTTAACATTGTATGCAATTTGCATAGTAATGCAAAACTATAGTACAAAATGTATATATGTTCTATAGTATACAGATTATAATTTATTTTAGATTTTTAAAATGAAAATAAAGTAAATGACCTTGTGGCTTATACTCAAATACTTGTATTTAAAGCTCCATTAATGAAAAATAAAAAACTGTTTATCCGTATATTAAATATATTTACAATTCAAAAATATACTTCAAGCATCAACTTGCATGGTAAGTGCTGTAATAGAACACTTACTTCTCTTTCAATTTCATAATTTATTTAAAAATATTTTTGCAGTGTTTCACCAATTGAAACTTCTAATTGTTGTATAGCTTTCTGACAACTTGATTCAATTTCTGTATCCTCGTCTTCTAAAAGTTCAGCTAAGAATGGAATTGTCTCTGGCAACAAAGGTAAGAAATCTTCTCCAACTTTTTGGGCTATTTCACAAGTGGCATCCAGACCACATAATCTGAAAATAGAAATTAATACCATTAATTACATAAAAAGGAATCAATTATATTAAAAATATTTATATTTATAGACATATAAATAAATAAATGAATAAATAAGGATTATCATACCTGATTTCTGAAGAAGAATGTCTAGTTTTCAATAATACTTGATAATTCAACTGTTTCCATAATGAATCATCGCCACAAGCAACAGCAAGCTGTGCAATGCAAGGTATTACAATTCTTTTTGCCCTTTCTCTCAATTCTGTGAGATTGCCTAAGTTATTTTCTAATTGATCAACTAATGGTTGCATTATTATTTCAAATTTCTCTTTATTAATGAAATTCTGGCTGTCGTATAAAAATACGGAATACAAGGTTTTCATAATGCTTTCAACTAGAATTATACATTTTTCTGGTTCATCAAAATACAGTTTGTCAGTCTTTATTATATTGCAGCTATCTAATAACACACATGCATTGTTTATGAAACAACCAGCGAATAGAACAAATAAACCTTTTAAGCTTTCTGCTATATTATTTGATAATCGATAAAAGGTTATTGAACGGTTTTTATTAGAACTGCTAGTAGCAGCCCAGTCAAAAAGCCTATAATACAAAGGCTTGAATGAAGATTCAGATAATTTAAGAACCAAAGATACAAATGCATTGAAAATGTGACTTTCAACAGCTTCAATCTCAGTTTCTGTAATGTTGTCCTCAACAATGTCACTTCTAAACTGTAAAGCTTCCAAAAAGAAGTTCGTCAAGTCTATTTGATGTGCTGAAAAATCAGCATTTGATATATTTACAAAACTTTCTGAAAGTGTGTTCATAACAAATGCTACAGCATTATAATTGCGCTTTTTGATCAATTTTAAGTAACTTTCCTTAACTGCAGGTATTAAAACACGAGGAGCCAATGCACTAGATATTTTGCCTGATATAGTTTTCAATTTAGCATGAAGTGAAGAATTTGTTGATTTTCTTCATTAAATTTACATTTTAGAAGAGCCAGTTCATACATTATTTTTTCTATGTATGGACTCAAAAATAGTGCTAAGCATTCAACTATTTTCTGCAATGCAGTAATAGTACTCAATAATAAAAGATCTACAGTTTCAGCACTGTTTTGTGATTTTAGTATATTTATCAAAGCTGGCATAATTGTAGGTATATTTTCAATAGCATTTGAACCCAAATTGTTACATAACTCAGCTAAGCATAAAACAACTGATGATAAAACATTTTGCTGAATATTATTTGGTTGTGCAGTATACCCAGTAACGAGAGATAATATTGGCTTGAATTTTAATGGTTGTACAGGTCCTAATAACTTTGATAACAGTTTCATTGCTAGTAATGCTGTTTGTTGATTCATTTCTATTTCCAAAACATTAGTATTTTCATCAGTTTGCTCACTTATAGTTTCAATAACTTTAGTCAGAGGCTCCAATACTCCAAATAAGGTTTCTTTGTTGCAATTATCAAAGAATGTTATATTATGTTGTATCCTATTTATTAAAACTCCATAGCTTTGCGCCGAACTGTAGCTAAATTGTGAGACATCAATCCCTTAGTCACTAACAAGAACATATCAGCTGAAAGCAGACCGTTCACGCTATCCAAAATGTCATAAGCATGATGAAGCATGACTTTCCAATACTTGGCTTGTGGTGTTCCCATGCTTTTATCACTGATTTTGACAATAATTGTATGAAAGTCAATGTGTTAACTATCATAGTTTTATATAAACTTTCTAGTTTAGACATCTCTGCTTCCTTCAGGACAGCTATGTATTCATGAAAAGTGGGTGAAGAGATCAAACCACTTATGAAAGTTATCAAAGTGTATTTGAAATGCCTTAATTGTTTGGTGTATGAACATTGTAATTGAATATAAAGTATTATCCATGGACCCTGGTCTATGGCTGTCTTTATCAATGGGTAAAGTTTTACATAAATAAGTAATTTGTTACAACTTTGAATTATAACATTTGGTGCATATTCTCTTGTTAGTGTGCTGGCAATATCCAAACGCCTTTGTGATGTCTTATCTTTATTATTCTCTTCGTGCAAAACTTGAGACTCAAAAACTAAGCCAAGGAACAACCAGAGAAAATGTTCTGCACCTAAAGTATCAATTAATTTTTTAAATAAAGGTATTCTTCTGTGTTCTGGTATATCCAATAGAACTCCAACAAAAACTGCAGTAACGGAATAATGTTTTTCTCCAAAGTTACAGCTTGATCTTCAGATAAACTATCCAAATCGTTGCTCCACTAGTTGGGAATAACACTTTCAATTAGTTTTGTTATAATTTGGAAACTATAAGCATCATCATGACGTAAAAACCGAAGAACCCATAAATGTGAAAATTGCCATCATATTATGTAATACTTGATCTGGTACAATCTCGGCCATTTGACACAAAAGCATTAATGCATGGTGATGTGTTGAGGATTTGATGTAGCCTGATGCACTGTACAACTAATTCAATATTGAAAATATTATCAGGCAATTCTTTGATATCACGCGCATCTGAAATATTTTGTTGCAACAATGCAGGATGCATGATAATAATAGTTGTTTGGTGTATTCAATGGAGCTTGTATATCAAATTCCAAACATCGTTTGAGAACATCAAAGACCATTGGCAACATATTTTCAATGTCAATTATTTTCTTCTTGTTCTGCACAAACTCTAGCAATGTTACACCTCTTTTCCAGGGTCTGTAATAATAAAGCAGGGTTGGAGCTACATTGATCCTTCTTGATCGCCTTCTAGGTTCTTTATTTTCAGGTTCAGGATTTTGAACATCTCTCATCATTGTAATTCATTTTGTATTAAATTTGCATCTAATTCTATAGTTTCATAAACTTGCTAGCAGATGATATAATTGTAGGCATTTCGGAATCTGTTGCGGAGTCTATGACATGTGATATGAGAGAGGCATGTAAATTCTTGGTATATTCATGTAAGTATCATTATCAATTTGATCTAAAATAATTACAAACATTAGAAATTGTTCCATTTTCTAAAATGACATGATTATTGTGATACTGTAAGCATTTTAAAAGAAATATCCATAAAGCAGAATTTTGATTAATTGATTTAATTGTCTGTTTGTTGATTCTATATATTATATTTGTACAATTAAAGACTTATGTTTATCCAATGGTTTATCATTGTTTTTCCAAATTCCAAAACCTCCAATGCTAATTTGCTAATGTCGCTCAATATTTCTTCTGAGTTAACAAGGGAAAAGATTTTCAACATCGAGCTACTTATATGCAAAGGATTACTACGATGTGTTATATATCCATATATTTGTTTCAAACATTTATGTTTTGATGCTTGTACAGATTTTTACTTGGATTTTCTGGTGATAGTATTATAAACAAACAAGAGGCAACTGTTCAGGATCCAACAATATTTCTTCTTTATGATTCATCAATTGAGACAAACAATAATAGTGGTTTCCATTATTTTCATAAGTTTTTTAAGTAGAGTTGGAATTAAATCCACTGCAGCTTTTCGTATACAATTTGTAGTATCAGTCAATGAATTAAGATGTTTTGAATAAATATACTTGAATCCAAAACTGGAGTTAAATCATCTTTTGTTTTTTGTCAAAAGTGCTTTTACTAGGCGTAAGCAACGAAGTTGTAACTCTGGATTAAATTAATGCTTTTATCTGAAGACTCTAAACTCCAAAAATGAAGAAGTTGGAGATAAACTCGCATTTTTTGCTAATACTGGTCCATATTTAGCAAAAAAGTTATTTAACACCTGAGCATATTGCATTACAATTTCTATGTCA